TGAGGTGGTCTACTCTCCTGCTTCTGGGGAAAGTCACGCTGGGTAGAAAAGCTGACTCAAATTAATCAAATAGCATCTTTAGGATAGAATGGAGGGATGTAGATTTCTTTTGGAATAGTATTTTAATACATAGGAAGCTATCCAGCATTTTTTTTTCTGATCCAGCTTTGCAGTATCACCAGAATTATTAAGTGGCTTCTGACAGGAAATTTGGAGCTAAACGCATTACAGGGTGGAAATCTACTGATAAGAACTGGGAGGCTTTGCAACAAGAAAAGTTTAGAAGCTGTCAGCACAGGATTTGAACTGAATTTGCACCATTGTTCCCATAGGCACATCTGCTAATACTGCTTCAGCATTTAGTTCAACACAGCTCACAAGCAAAAAGAGAAATATGGAAATAAGAAGAGATTTAAAACTGATAGACTTTTACATATTTCTTAGAAGAGAAACTAAATAATTGGATGGGGAAATTTCATATGCTGGCTCATACAATATGTTACAGCATGTCTTTAATATGTTATAATTCTCAAGCAACATATGAATATCTAAAAATCTATAATTTTAAAATGCTATAAAACACACTATAATATCTTTACCACTATGTTGAATCCCCTGGCACTCTCATATATGTTTTATTAGTTATAAGAAAGTAAGGCCTTAGTGTAAGAAAGAACATTGCAACCTAATTCTCACTGAGATCAGTACTAATTCATTTTTCAATTGAGGCATTTGTTGGATATTAGAAAGCCATTCCTAAGAAGACTCATATGCTAGAAAAATGTGTTTTCCCACTTCACTAACTTTGAATTTCCTTTACAGATGATACCAAGATAGCGCTCCACCTGAAAGATAATGGAGGTAAGAGACAAGTTTTTGTGTGTGTGTAAATAATATGAGTAGTTGTGAAATTACATCCCACTGAACTTCATTAATCTAAATGAGTCTGAAAAAATAGCTTTTACCAGACTCGGTTTTCCACATCTCTGTAGAAGAGCACAAGGGCAAACATGCTTAGCAACTGCTTAGTAAATTAAATGTTTACAGCTTTCTATAACTCCTTAGTAAAATATAGTAAATTTAATTTATCTGACATTAAAATATCAGAGAATTTCCAAAACTGGATATATCAAAGGCATTTTTAAACTATATGAAGACAGATTAAATAATAACATTGTATTAAAAGTTCATTCATAATAGTGAATTAGTGTCTCTTTATTAATACACTTATGTGTTTTGTATCTGCACCTCAACATTAGCAGAGATCCTGTGTTTCTCCATGCGCATTCTTCTATGTAGGTCAGTGGGAGATGGGAGCTGAAGATGACCGCAGTGGAGACAGTGTCCCCACTGACAGGGCAGTGAGCAGAGTTGGGTGCTGGTAACTGCACCCCCCAGCACTCCCCACACAGGGAAGGGTGACTACCTGGGTCCAGGATCCATCCATGGATTCCACTGAGGAGCAAAAGAAGCTAGGGGCAGACATAAGACTAGTACAGAGGTACAAGGTACATCCAGGAGACAAGAGAAAGACAGTCAGACATACGGGTTCACAGCATAGACAAGGCTTGGGTCTGGACTTAATGGAGTCTCCAGATCCATGGGCAGGGGGCCAGGTGAGACTGGTCAGGCATTGGAGCTGTTAATGCCTTCATAGTCCTGGCAGACAGCTGTCTAAGACTTCAAAAAATGTCATGTCAAGAAGCCACTTACCATTTTGTTCTGTTTTTCTTGTCTTTTTTTTTTTTTCAGCTGCATTAGTCCCCAAGAGGCATTATTTTCCCTTTCTCTCAAATTAAAGATTTGATCACTCCACAGGGAGCATTTGCCATCTCTTTACTGTCCTCTCCTCTGTCATTTTATTGCCACTAGTGACACCATAACTGGACACGTGGAGTACTTTCCCTTGTGTGGAATTGTCCGTTTGTTGCCAATGTTGGAAATGGGTTTGACACCTAAATGATCTCTCAGAATAAGGTCCTCTATAAAATGAGGGCTGCACTTTTAGTTGTCTTTCCTATAGAAAGTCCCTTGAATCTATCTTTTTCTGATTCTTCCTGAAATTGAATTACTTTTTGTTTTGTTGTGAAATGTGCTTCCATGCTCTTAAAGATGAATAATATGGTAAATCAGTCAGCACTTTACTCTTACATTCCCCATTTGTTCTGTACAAAAAGCACATTCACAGCTGAGCTATACCCGCACCCCGCCTTGCTAGCCACCCCCCTGTGACAAATAACTAGCATGGGGCCAAGCAGCTCGCTGTGCCTTGAGCATCTCATGGACAGCTCAGGATAATATGCTGTTATGTCAAAAATAACTCAAAAGATGGATTTTAGAAAATAAACTCCAAGTCTCTCCCAGTTTTGGAGATATGTGAAGTAACTTTACTTCCACTTGTCTACTCCTTGTCTTAAGATCTGGAAAGGAAACAGTATATTGAATACTTGAGCAAGTGAGGAACGGCAGAGGCCTGTTGCTGGAGTCAGATAGCAGGGTTTGAATCATCACTTACATTAAATATAAAAAGTCCATTTTCACCCAGAAAGCTGCTCTATTTTAGGAGGAGAAACCAACAACTGATGTGATTATTCACTTTACTTGAGCTGTTTCTTTTATTCTTGAAATGAAAAAGAAAAAAAAGGAAGAAAGAAAGAAACAGGCGTCAAACAATGCAGAATAAAGCTACACACCAGGATTTCTCATTCACACAGTAAATGTAGCTTTTAGTCTAGGAAGTTCTTTTTGATGAATCTTCAATTATGCATTGAATTTTCCAGTGACCCTTAGATTAGGCTCAGATAAAACCTCTGCAGCCGCAGGCGTGTTCTTTGAATCTCTGTGATTTGTCAGCCTTTTTATAAGGAGTAGATTATTTCAGGTCACGAATACAGGGTCCTTACTTTCTCACACTAGATTCTTTAAAACTCTAATGAAAGGGAACTTTCTATAATGGCAATCAAAGCTATATTGGATCGATGATGGCATATAGCTTGGATGATAGCAGTCAATATCTGGTTAAGTACAACAACAAAAAAAAAATCTACGTAAATTTAGCATCTTGCATCTGGCTGGAGCTTCCAAACCAAATGTTACAAACAGTAAGTACCTTTGAATTAAATTGCATGTTCAGGTCAAACTTGTTTTGCCTTTTAATTATATGAAAAAAAATCACTTGCAACTTATTGCTGTAATTAAACCACAGTTTTGGGGGGCATGTTTTAACATTAACATTTTAACAAGTTTCAAGTTTGCTTGTATCTGTAGTTGCTGTTTTTCCCCCCTTTTTTTTCCTTTCTTTCTTCTGACACAACGCATAGCCGACTAACAGATTTAGAATCCTAAATTTTCATAAAAGCTGTGGTCAATTGGCTACAGCAATGCAATATTTTCATGCTGAGAATTCCTTGGTGGATGATTTAGGTGTTTGGCCAGGACATCTAGACATTTCACTTGACCTTTTTAGACTGTTATTGTGATGATTTGATAGCTTTAAAATACTCTCAATCCTTCAGCTTTTTAACTCCAAGGAAAACTGTGTGCATTGTACAGTAAATATCAGAGAAACCATTGCTATCTCTCATTCTCTTGGCTTCAGTTTCTAAATGATCTAGAAGCACATTTCTGACATTATATCGTGGTTCCAGAACACGCAAATTCGAAATACCCTATGCAGTGGAGACAGCAGTTAATTACATTCCTATCAACAGATAATGAATAAGCACTTTTGCATGGTACAGTGATCTACCAAGACCATGGATTATTATTCTTACTGAAAATAATTACTTTTTGAACTATGATCCAGCTCAAGATTTTTTAGCAGGGTGGTAATTAACTTGCATTGCTACTGTAACATTTTTTTGGGGAAAAAACTACCTGTGTTTTTTCAAGTGTTATGGAGGAGGGAGGAGGTTTACATACCTCAATATTTTTTAAGAATAAAAGTCTTTGACATGCAGTGCTGTGTGTCAGAAAGTATGAGATGCACGTTTTAAAATCTTACTTCTGTCAAGAAGCTCTAGTTTAAATTCTTAGCCAGAGAAAAAGTGCTGAACTCATCCAATCTAGAGGAAAAAAAATAGATTAATAATCTTTATTTTCAGGAAATCTAACCATTGATATACTGTATTTGTTTCCATCTGTTTTATGGTGCTCTGAATTGTAGTAGGTGTTCCTTAGACCAGGAAACTTCTGATTTTTCCAGAACTTCTTGCATGTCCATTGCACACCAGTTTTGTTGTTATCAACTTATTAGAACTATCATCACAGAATATGTAAAAATAAGCAATACAAGCTGCAAAGAGTCAATCAAATAACTAGATTTTCTTAACTAGTACCACTGGGATTCACCCCCACAGAGTAAATATCACTTTCTCGCTATAATACCAAAGGGTATTTTTTATACCATATTAGACCTTTACATTAGACTAAAGAAACATGATGTTAAAGCAGTTTAGCTAAATCAGAATAAATGTGTGTAGACAATTTGACTTACATTTAGGACTGTCTCATAGCAGTTTAGTTTAGTTTGCCTTTTCTTCTCTAAGCAGTATAAAATGGTAGAAATGTATCCACTTTGAGTTGTCATGATTTGACTAGGAAGGCATACATTTAAGTAATCATTAAACCAGTACAATTTGAGGACTTTATACCAGCTCAAAGAGCTGGTACTCCAGTTGGTACTGGAGAGTACATGTAAATCTAAATGAACATCAAAATGTAATATACTCAATAAAGTTTTAAGATAATGCTTAAGTAAACTTAATGTTTGCTCTTACCACTTGCCATTGCTGTCACAGATTGCGGCAATGCAACAGCTAGGGCATACAAAGCTCCTGTGATCTCCTGTCTTTTTAACCACCTATTCTGCAAGAGTCAATCCAGTGGTTGCAGGCACAGCATCCTGCAAGTCAAAATAGCTTTAGAAAGGAACAGCCTGCTTGGTCTGACAGTTGTGTGTTAGTGTTCAGTAGAGTTAAGAGTAGTCAGTGGGTTGACTGAATTAAAATGCTTACAGTGTTTTCCCCTATTGGAGTTAGCAGCAGCACCTGCTGCATTGCCAGGCCAAAGAGCATGTAGTGATAATGAGCTTTGCAATGGCCAGTGCTTGATGTTACTCTCAGAAGAGCATCTCCAGCAGGTCAAGGGAATCCTCCCCCTCTACTCAGCCCTGGTGAGGCCACATCTGGAGTATTGTGTCCAGTTCTGGGCCCCCCAGTACAAGAGGGATGTGGAGCTGCTGGAGAGAGTCCAGCGCAGGGCTACAAGGATGATCAGGGGCCTGGAACATCTGCCCTATGAGGAGAGACTGAGGGAGCTGAAAAAGAGAAGTCTAAGAGGGGATCTAATCAGTGTCTATAAGTACCTCAAGGGAGGCAGTGAGGAGGATAGTGCTGGCCTCTTTTCAGTGGTAGTCAGCAATAGAACTAGAGGAAAGGGCCACAAACTGAAACACCAAAAGTTCCACAGGAACTTAAGGAAAAATTTCTTAACAGTGAGGGTGACAGAACACCGGAACAGGTTGTCAAGAGAGGTTGTGGAGTCTCCTTCTCTGGAGATCTTCAAAACCCGCTTGGATGCAGTCTTGTGCCACATGCTCTAGGTGACCCTGCGTGTGCAGGGGGGTTGGACTAGATGACCTCTAGAGGTCCCTTCCAACCTTAAGCATTCTATGACTCTATGACAGCTTTTATCTTAGGGCAGAAGAATGCAAGTTCTGACATGTTAAGAGTGCTGGCATCCTGTACACAGAGGGATTTAGTTTTGTTGTACTTGCATCTATTTAGTGCATTAAGCACTCAGTGGTCTTAGAAAGATTTGCTGTGTAGTCCAAGGGTATATAGAAGACTGATAGCAAAGCC